CTTCCAAAAATTTCAAACAATGAATCTATATTATAACTGTTCGCAACTTTTCATCAAACAAATTAATTCATGTAAAATTTACATCAAGTGTCATTTAAAATAGAACAAATTTTGCTAACAATCGTTTTTAATGTGTCGAACAAATGCATGAATCAATTCAATTCAAACAAATAAATTGTTATTTGAATAAATTGAGGAATGAATATTTGTGACAATAAAAAGAAAAAGGGCGTTCCATAGATTACCCTGAAAAAATGAGCAACTTCTTTTACGAATAAACATCCGTGAAAAATCAGAATAACTAATACATGGAATAAAAAAAGCAATGCTGAACACCATGCATTTTTTCTAACATTGAACAGAGAAATAAAAAGTTCTCACCTTGATCTACATTTGTAGAAATTCGAGAGTCCAACCCATGTGCAAGATAAGGGCTCGTGTTTTTGAAAAGGCGACGCAGATACTGAATACACCAGGGAAGCGTTGGGATTCCATGACGATCTTTTGCCAAATCTGTGAAATAATAATTAATAATGAGACACTTTGCTTCTGATATTTCAGGTCAGACGGTAAGAGTACGGCTCTGCCGAACTCTAAAAGCCTGATTTGATCCTCAGTGGGGCAGGCACAAAGTATGTGCTCTGCTGTTTCATCATTTTCCAAACACACACTATCTTCCGACAGTCCTAGTCTCTGTATATGATGATTCAAATGACAGTGACCTGTAAGAAGGCCTGTTAGACATTGTAGTTCATCCCTACTGTAGTCCAACAACTGTTTGGTATCAAGCTTCGAAGGGTGAGTAAACGCCTTGACGTGAGCCAATTCTGGAAGATTCTGCCAGAAGTCCATAAATCTTCTTGCCATCCAGGTGTTCAATCTTTGTTTGGCAAAGCCTAAAGCGATGCCAATGACAGGTTCTGGTCTGATGAAGATGTTTGCAGCACCCTCCTTTGCAAGGGAATCAGCAGCCTCATTGTCTTCCATGCCATTAATCCAGACCAGAGACAATCTGTTAAGTCTTCCTATCGAGGAGAGTCGTTTTTGGCAACTTGCTACCAATTATGACGTTGCTCGGTAGGAGCCAAGAGCTTCCAACGCCGCTTGACTGTCCGAGTATAGTTTCATTGACTTGTGTATGAGGTTGCATTCTTCCAATCTCCCCGCACACAATTCAAAAGCGTAAATTTCCGCTTGAAATACAGTCGCATAGGAAGGTTGATGTCTCTGTGCTGGGTCTGCGACTGAAAACACCTGCACCAGAACCGGAAGGTGTTTTTGATCCATTTGTGAACCAATCTGCTCATAATATTTCCTTCTCCCGGAAAATCCAGCCCTCTCTACTCGGGAACAGTACTTCATAAGACATTTCGTAGTTGACAGTTGGAGGCATAAAGTCAGAGATCATTTCCAGAATGCTGTGACTTCCAGTGTTAACCTACAGTCTGTTGCACACTGCATTAAATTGATTTGGGCAATTGGCAATCTGCACAAATCTATATGCAGTCCATCTAGTCTCTCTCTCCAGAAAAATGTGGAGAGGGGGTAGATCTAGAAGGATCTCCATGGCCGCTGACGGTGTGGTACTGATGGCACCACTGATAGCCAGACAAGTCTGTTTGTGTAAGCCAGAGAGCTTCGCCTGGGACCAAATTTTACCACAAATCTTTCGACATGTCCATAGGGACAGTCTAGCTAGATAAGATAGCAGGACATTAACATGAGTTGTGATTCAGAAATTGAAATGAGGAATATTCCATCGAAAATACTTTTTCCACACTAGAACAAAAATGTTTATCGACGCGCTTTTCGCTAACCGAATTGGCATTGTTAGAAAATAATTAGAAGTGGATCTTCCAACTGAATTAAATTTTGTATATCAATCTGGAGAATGGTCATTCGATTGATTCCTTATAATATATCAGGACCGAAACCACGCCATTGCCGATGCGATGAAATATACCCATAAAAACTGATACTGGACGAAGTAGTATGTACTGAGAGGATAACGAGAACACCGCAGTCGTGGACAAAACATCAGGCTTAAAAACCCGCAGGCCACGGCCGACAAACGCGGAGAATAGCTCTGACACAAAATAATGGAATTGAATATTGCCTTTGAATTAAATCACTGAAATTGGATTTCTCCAAACGTTTATCACAGTTTCCATTTTTGAAAATATGAGAGGGGAAAACTGTGTATATGTATAACAAAAAAAAAGTCGAAAGTAATAAATTTTTTAAAAAGATTCTCACGTGTCCAGGTCAGCAAAAAAGAGAATAAACATTTACTGATGGATATCGATAAACACATGGAGTAACATAGTCGAGTAATACCTTCACTCGAACTTCCTTACATTGTGAAATTATTGATCTGTCTGAAGAAGATTCATTAGTTTCGTGGAGTGTTAAAATAAATGTTTTTTTAAGGACAGCGTGCCGAGCTTTCAAGTTGCTGGAGTGATATACAAACCCGGAAAATATAGTGCAGTTGATATTTAGGTCGGGAGAACAGTTCTTAATCCTGGATTAATGAAAAAATCAACGAACCATATTATTGAATTGTTAATTGCGTATCAAATCAAAATTTGATACGCAATTTTTACCAATATTATTATTTTCAACTACCTAATAGCAGTAGTTACCAAACAAAATTACGTCTTTAACCTAAGATTTGAAGTTCTCATTTAAAGAAAGAAAAAAGAGATATCTATAAATGAAACATTTTTGTTTATCACTCATAGAAAGTTCTAGGTCTCTTCGAATATCCTTCGTTATTCACTTTCACAATACAAGTATGATAATTAGTTTCTGGTACAGTTCAAGTAAACGATATAGTGCAACCTACCTTCCAACAGCTCCCATTTAATAATATAGTCAGGGGGCTAACTAATTTCGTTATTCAATAATCATTTCTGATTATATAAGAATCACAATAACTAAGTAATATATATAATAAATATTTCGTTTATATAGGTGAGTGGGAAAGTAGGGATTCAAATAACACTTCACTAACTTTCTTCGAAAGCTTCTGATAATTCCTCTTCCATATTCTCTGTTTCACTATCACTGTCGTCATTTAAATCAATAATGTTATCATTTCCACCATTAATATGTAAGTGTCCAATCTCCATATAGTCTTCTTCAACTAGAATTACTTTTTTAATCCTTTTCTGTCAGTCTTCTTTGGTAATATTAGATACTTTTTTTTAATTAGCTATCACTAACTATCACCTTCTCATCAATTTTTTTTAATTATTTTCACGCCTGATGTGTTATTTCAATTTTCCCAAATCAACTCGATGGGATTGAAAACACAAAAATAGAGGGGAAGTCGCAGTATGGTGTGTCCATACTTTTCAGCAATACTCTCAATGGCATACACTTTTTCAAATGTTTTTGTCTGTAAAACTTCAAGTTTTTGGTATAGTAATCTCCAAAATACAAATTGTTACCTATCCATTAAAAAACTTTGAATTTCATCTTTCCTCGAATTTTTATTCGGAACTTTGATGATCTGTCACAAATGACAGGAAGCGTTGTCAAGAACTATTACACTATTCGCATCCAAATTTGGGATAAATGTGTTTCCAAACCATTCCTCGAAAATATCAGCTTCCATGTTCTTATGATAGTAAATATTGCAGTCCTCAAGTTTTTTCCACATAATTTCAAAGAATTCGGAATCCATCCTTCAGTTCCTAGGCAATTGCACAATCATTAGTCGCGATCCTTTGTTTGCAAACATGTTAGATGTACACATTCTCAAACCATCAGTCCACCCTTTCGTAACTGTGTTGTGAGTGTCATACCAAGTTTCTTCCAAATAGAAAATTTGCCGTTGTTCTTGTCTATATTTAGTTATTTGTTCTAAGCATTTGTTACGCAATTCCACTATTATTCTGATTTGCATAGGTGCTTGACATTGTTTATTATTTTAAATCTAAATCCTAGTTTTTTTATCCAATTCCGAAGAGTTTTGTCACATCAACTCACTTCATCGCCGGAAGTATTCAATTTCTTCCTTATGATTTCTGTTGTAGGAATCTCATTGCTTTTGTAACAGTCGTATATTGTTTTATAAATGATTTTATTAGATGATCATCTGAAGGTTTTGGTAATCCTGTATCACATCGCTTCTTGCGTTCATAAAGTTTGTTTTTGACTATTTTACGTACAGTTGAGAAAGGAATTTCGGTCAAATCTGATGTTACTTGTAATAATTTGTTTCCCTCGAAACTAAACTTGAGATGTAGATTATCATATACATTGAAACATAATCACCACGTTTCAATATTCAAATGCATCCAAATCTTATTAACTGATATTTCTTTTTTGCATTGTTCACCATCGCCATTGGAATTACTATACTGGAAAAAGTCTGCGTTGTTATCACACTCGTTATTACTACCAGTACTTCTCCAAGGAAGCCACATTTTAAACAGATAACAAAAATGTTAGGTAATTATAACTGCACCAATATCGAATTTCAACACCAAATCGCGATCAGTTCCTGAACTGAACACGAAGGCGATAACCATCCCCTCATTCGCGATTTCTATTCGTCACCATAACATGACTTCAAATTTAATTTCATGACTTTTCAGCCAATCATAAAACTCGTTAAGTATAAATTATCCAATACGAAACGTCAAGTCTACAGTGCACATGAACTATCTCGCTGCCGGTTTATTTCTATGAATTGCTTTTTTTGGCCTTTGAGAGTGCTGCCAACTTCAAGAGTGCACAATATCGTTTACATCGACTATACAGATTGGTGAGTTTGTTTTTTCTTTCAATACGACCGATTCAATCGGATTTTTTCAAGATAGCGTTTCTTTATTCGTTAAATCGAAAGTCAGAAATGAGGTGGTGTCCAAATTATTCGGGTGAATTGCTGTGGACAGCCTTGCGCAATAGATGATGCTTAATCACGAGAACGGAGGGAGAGAAGGCCATTTTAGGAAGAAAGTGGTGGACGAGAATCTCACGAAAAGGATTTGATTAGTGGTGAGCCGTCTGGTTCAATTTCAAGATTTTGAACGAAATAGTTTCTGATATAGTTTCACATATAGAGTTTGCGAGTTCCATAAAAGGGTGCACTTTCTGAAGATTCTACTGAGTCACATCCACTTTAGCAGAAGGAGCGACGCCATCTCATTGGACGGTATGAAAACTCATTTTGATTCTTTTATTTGCATATGAGATTCACCTTTCAGTAAATCAAATTTTAGAATGAATTGCCATTATGGAAATTATTCTTTTTAGGGTTTTTAATGTTGGAGATTTTTTACAATAGTTTTTCTGCAGAGTTTGTCTGGAATCATTGAAGAGGGAAGAACAAGAATGGAATAGATTTTCAGTTAATTTGCCGAATGCTGGTTTTTGATTCGTCCAGTTCGATGACATGAATCTTATAACTAATATTGATATTTTTCACCTGGATAAATGATAAATGATAAATGAAAGCATAGTTTCTTCTAGGATTATTATTGAGTTATTACAATTTTTTACTCACGATTAAATGACAATTTTGGAGCATCTTCAGATTTTCATCTCTACACTTGTTCAATTTACCAGCCAGTATTTTGTGAATATCAAGTACCTTCAGATTATCTGATTTTTTATAGATTCACCTCATTGCTGTGATTTAAGGAACTCAATTTGATTTGATTTGGTTTCACAGTCGACCAGATCACGTACCATTTATTTTATTGGCTGTGTGGCGCCCAACTTAGATCTCTATAAAAAAATATATTCAATTGCTAAAATTTCAGGATACCGAAAAGTTTTCTGAACGAAACCCATAGTCCATACCAACGAAGAGCTGCCGTACACACTGTGCATATCTTTCGACTAAATTCATTATAATTTTTGTAATACATGAAAGATAAGGCCACAAATAAAAAACAGAGTACGGTACATACTGATTTTTTATTACCTTACCTTGTGCCAACCAAAAAGGCATCACCCCTGCGAACATTAATAGGTTTGGTGTCGCGTTCATTGCTGGAACTTTTACTGGATCTTCCGTATCGTACCATTGATTTGAACTTTTCTGAAAACAAAAAAGAATGGTTCTCATCTTCGTTCACATGTATTTAGAATCACAAATAATCTATTTTTATTATTACATGTTTTTATACAGCACCTGAAAAATGTTATAATGGATTATAATAGTGAGGTTAGGTTATGTTTTCACGAACGATTTTGAAATGGTAACTTTTTATGGGAGGGTAAACCGCTTCGTTACCTAACGCAAAACGGCGCCCTGGCTTCCCTTTCTCTCACACATACATCAGCGGAAGGCAGGTTCCTCCTCTCTCGTCGAACAAATGCTCAGTGATTAGTGTGCGTTAGACATATATTGTTGACAGTATTATAAAAATCTAACCAGCAAGCGCGTAATATTTTTTTTTGTGTGAAACGTGACTTAAAAATGATGATACCAATTTTGTGTATGAACATTATTAGTATCATTATTTAATTCTTCAAAAGTAACAATTGGCTTATAGTAGCTATAATATATGTACACACACAAAATAATCAATGAAAGATTTTAATAATAAATAACCTTCCCTTACATTATCATCTGTATCTGTAGAGCAGGGAGGGTGAATGTAGGCCCACAGCACTTAGGCCACATGTGAACCATTGTACATCCTCCCAAGGAGTTGTCCTCCTAGGTCATCGTCCACCCTGTTCTTTCCAGGAAGGTGGACAGGTCACTGGGATACATCTCCTTTATATTGGCAGGTGTAGGCCAAGACTCGCCTAACACACACTCTCTTATTGACAATAACTCCGGACACTCACATAGGACATGCCTGTTTCATCATCCTGTTCACATATCCTTCAAAGAGGTGTGTCCACTAGCCCCATATTATGGAGGTGTTTCCTCAGTTGACAGTGGCCAGTCAGAAATCCTACTGTTAAGCGTAGATTTTTCCTGGTTATCGCCAGATATTTCTTCGGCGCCAGCTTCACAGGGTCGCACAGGGTGATCCTGGCAAGATTGCATCCTTTGATGTCATCCCATGTCTTGAGGGATTGAGCATGGGTGTAACGTTTGGCTAGTTTCGCAATTGTCGAAGCCATTAGGCCGTAGATGTCACTGGGTCATAAAATTCCTAGTCCAGCCGCTTCCTTGGCTGAAGAGTCGGAAATGCGATTACCTTTACTCGTGTTGTGCCCTTCAATCCACCTCAGGATAATGTTATTATCTACCGAGGCTTTGGCTAGATCTTGGTGGCACTCTAGTACTGGCCCTGAGGTAACACGTCTGTTCAAGGCTAATAGGGCTTGTCTGATATCAGTGTAGATTGTTATGTTTTTGCCAGAAATTCCTTTCCTGATTATTTCTTTTGTGATGATTGAGATAACAGCCAGTTCCGTTTGAAGCACGCTGGTATTTTTCCCATTCCCCACTTAATCCTTAGGCTTAGAGTGATCTGGAGTACACTCCACATCCTGAGCCTTCTTTGGTTATTTTAATATACATAAAATGTCAGTAATAACCTAAGTAGTTCAACTTAGATTTGTTTAAATTATCACTTCTGCCGGGTTTCCCGAGACGCCCCCCTTTTTTTATCTCTCATGAAAATTCAACCTCAAAAGTCTAACAGATGGACATATATTATGTTTTTGAATATTTATTACTCAATCATGCAAAGACATCTGAACAGATTTGCATGATATTTGATATACTGATAATTTATGAGTTAATTTATGTGTATTTCATACTTTTTTGGGAAGCACTGTATTCCATTTCAAAGCTGGGAATGCACCCAATACCTTATAGTCAGTTTTCGCAAGACTGAAATACAGCTCGTTAGAAACTACTCTCGCGCATAATGTTCAAATCTTACTCTCAAGATGTCTAACATGATCAGCAATATTTTCAATTAATTATCAATGAGTACACCTAAAAATGTTGTGTTCGAATTATTTTGCAAGATTCTATTGCCCACGGAAAGATCATCAAACAACCATTTGGATGATACCACATTAGGCCGGTGACATACTTCGCGATTTCCGAGCGGTTTCTTCCAGCACGGTTTCCGAGCGATTTTTTATTTTTACGCCAACCCCAGCGTTTGAATGGAGCATGCGTCATCCCACGCACCTTTTGTGATGGGTCAGTCTGCACCAGGATTCTGAATTCCCCGTTCTGCCCCACTTACGGGCTCATCTTCGAGGCTGAACTATCCGGAACTAAATTTCGCCAACCAACGTCGAACTGTGCACTCATTAACATTGTCATTACCTATCCGTGAAGACTTCAGATTTCATATTCGATACCTTAACGGGGAGATGAGGTCAACTAAGAAGAAGAAGAACTCAGGTAAAACTCAACAACATTTAAGTAGTAGGTAGTAGAGAGTTTATGGACAGTCTATCTCTGAACACGTAACGAATACCATTTTACCAGTATAGAAAGAAGTGAGTTGNACCTTCCAGAAGGTGATTCGTTAGGTCTTTTTGAGAAAAAAGTTTTCATGAACATAAGTCCGGAGTTGCTTCGTTTCTGAGATACAGGGCGTTGAAGTTTAAAGGACACCGTTATGAAATATCATAAATATCCTTGCATAGAATCGGTTGAAATCTGCTTCAATCATTTGAAATAATAAGGCGCTTATTCAGCCCTAACTAGATTAAAATTATTTGGTCCAGTGGAGTCTCACTGGGCACCACAGCTAAAAATATTGGGAAAAAAGTGCGCCACTGACTTGCTGTTTTAGTTTTTTGTTTTTTTAGGGTAATCAACTAAAAAAACAACTTTTACGTCGATTGTGCTGTCTTCATATCTAGCTTCGTTTTCGAAAAAAAATTGACGCCACTTTTACTAACGCTTAAATGGTTGACGCTGACATAGACTTTAATTATGGATTAGCAAATGGAAATGCAGAAGAAGCACAGATAATTTACCAGGACAGATATCTTAACAGAGTAATTCCATGTGCAAAAACATTTAGAACGCTACATGCAAGATTATGTGAAACTAGGATAATAAAAATGCAGTTAGTAGAAGACCAGAAAGTGTAACAACTGAACTAGAAGAAGCTATACCAAATCGGTGTAAAGATGTTTATGATATTTTATAAATACTGGACAACTCCGGACTTCTTTTCTTTAAACGACCTAAAGAGACACTCTCTGAAGTTTCATACCGTAGTTAGGAAACACCCTGTATTTGTTGTTGCTTTGAGAATGTTTTTACGAAATAATTCTGTTCAAAGTCTGGTCTAATTTTCATTATTCGAGATCAGAGGAAACGTAAATATTGCTGATAAGTACTGAAAATTATTTTTATTTTCAATTTTGTAAGACAACTCGATGAAAAATTTACTTCAGAGATAAGACGACATTAGATAAATCAAATTACTTACCAGGTATTCTTTTGTCCGAGTACGCTTTCACAGCAGTAAGAAGAACTGTTATACAATATAACAACACAACAATAATCCTTCGAATATGCATCTGAAATGAAAAATACCCATAAGGATTTCATTTTCAACAATTTTATAGAAACTAATACCTATATATGGTCCAAAACATAGCCTTATTTGAAATTAAGTAGATCAGTACTCTCAATTCATGAAAAATTGATATTTTGATGATAGTTTGCACAAACTTGAAATATTCAAATAATACCAAGAAATCGACTCCATATCATATAGGGCGTGCTAAAATTACTATTATTTCCATTGTGCATAAAAGTAGTCGAGATGATATATCATGTCCCTATACC